GTAGAGATTTCGCCGAGATATTTAGTCTCGCGTAGTCTCTTCATTAAATTTGGGCTCTCGGGGGTGCCCAACTTAGCGGAAAGTAGAACATCAGGAATTACACCACGAATTATTTTTCGGGCTGCTAAAGCAGCACCCTCCGTCAGCTCAATTCGCAGGCGTTCATACGGGACAGGTGTATAATGGACGCAATCCAGTGGCAATTAGGAGGTTGGGGCGAGATGGTGAGGTATGAAGGGTTAGCCGGCAATAAGTTTTCGCCAATGTGGACATCAGCAGAGGAGGCGCTTTACTCCACCACACATAGAAAGTGGTAATCTGCAAAAAAAGGTAAGAAAAGTTATCCTTTTGGACTGGTTTCCCTTGCCGCCGTCGTCGCTACAGCCAGTAATGTCGGCCTGGCGCATCTCCATATAATGTACGCTGGTATGTGCCCTGCATCCCATCCACTGCCCATTCATACAACCAATACACCAAAAATGTGAAGCAAATGTCTGTTTTATGCATTCATTCATCCATTAGGCTGCATATTCACAGCTATTTAGAAACTGATTTGCTTTTGACCTCGAGTGATTACTGACCATTTAAAGGCAAAAGTAATCTCACCTCCCATTCATTCAAGAAGGAATTGGTATTTGCTGCATGGTTTTTGGGATTGGGGCAAATTAGCCACGTAAATTGAAAGCTTTACGCCAAAAATGCTAAACTTAATCGTCTTCTTTGGGTTGCGAACGCATTGACAGTCACTTGGTTAAGCCCGAGTACCGACATTTTTCTGTAGCAGCCCAATCTCCCCATACATCAGAACTGCTTTTACCTGAATCCTTAGTTTCCTCACAATTTACCTCCTATAAGACTGAAGCTGCAGCACATTTCCTGCCGACGTGTCAATCCCTACATAGGATAATTATTTCAGTGATACGAATTGATTCACGTTTTGCAAAAAGATTGTGCTATGCCCCGCTATGAGTTATGGCTTAATATAAACACTACCAAGCCTTTGCAATAAGGTAATCAGTTGCGTAAATAATAAAAAGATTTAGTGATTTGACTATCCTTTCCGTTCCTCATATGCACTTGACATGAACACACAATTGGAAACATTGAAAGCGGTGCAGATTTGCAACAGCAGCTCCTCCGTAACCAACTTCACAGTTTAGTGTTTTATGCTGCAAAGCTGTTATGTGATAAGTCTACCTTACATTTCCATGTTTCCAGTGCCAGATGCCTTTTCTTGTGTTTTCCACCACATCCTTTTTAAACACTGCAGCCTGTATGAGTCAGTCAAGCAACTGCTACTGAGACGGAATTCAGTAGAGTCGGTACTCCCTTTTAAATAAAAAAAGTTTTCAACGAGGTGAAGCCGTAGGAAAAGGGCAAAGCGTGTAACCATCCAAAGCACGTGTTCAGTCGGTGCTTGCGTACGCAAGTGTAATGATTGGAGTGAAAGCATTGCAGCTGTTGTCCAATTGCCTTCAATGCGAAAACGATGTTTAACTTCGACAAATACTCCATCCCCGCCTACAATAGAAATGTTACAAATTAGTAGAAAGAAACTATCAGTGAACCATCTGAAAAAGTTTGTTATACAGCTGTGTACCCTTCCTGCGGGAAAATATTTTCATTAAGTGCCAAATAGATATGTCTGGCAACATTGAGGTAGGAGCAACGTCGCGAGGAGGAACCGAAGTAAACACAACCCTCATGAACTTATGGCAAATACCGTCTCATGTAACATTTTTTTACCTTTAGGTCAGTGTTTCCTCTACTTTAGCCATAACTACGCATGATGATCAGCACAAATTCAGTCTCCAAATCCAGTTCTCACACAAAAATAAATCGAGATCAACCGTTGTGTATCCGCATGTTGCTGCTGCCACTGCCTGGTCTGCGTGTGTG